ATAGTTAGCCACGATTAGTCGTGTTGGATAACTATCACAACCGAAATGCAATTTGATTGGCATGCAATGAACTCTCGTAGTTGTCTTTTCTGGAATCGCGAGGCGATAAAATTGCGCGAAATCTGCCTTAGGCAAGGGACATACCTCACGCGAATTCAGTCGCCACGCGATCTGGCAATTTGCCATATGTCTTCAAAATCAATACTGGAAGACCTCAAATGCACAGCATGTATAACTTTCGTAGGTTGACAAAATGCCCCCTTTTCCGTACATTCAGAAACCCCTAGGAAGAGTTATGAACATTTGGAGTATTGCCAAATCGCGTGGGGACTGAAATCGCGAGGTATGCCGAGGCATACCCTCGATACATAAAGGATATTCGTCGACGACTGCCCCGTTTAGTGCATTTACACCACCGCAGGCGTGCCTCGTTGGGGCCTTTCCAGCTTGACAGTACGCTGCAGCGCGCCGGGACTTCATATCTTGCAGTAACACTGTCCTTTAGCCTCTTTTATTGATTTAAGTATTTCGCATCGTTTTTTCTTCTTATTTTTCATTTCAGGCAATCAACCGTTCTATGTCTACGTGAGACCATCGTCGCGAGCAAAATAGAAAAAAGAATGACCTTATTTGTAGTTGCAGTGGTGGATGTCACAGCTATGATTGGGATCGCATATTTTCTTCAATGTTTTTCAATGATTTGATATGTTTCCTGGGAGATACCACTGAACTGATTACTTCAACACTCCTACATCAGGGACACCATGTAGGAGTGTTGAAATAAACATTAAAGTGGTCTCATCTAAGGAAACTCCTGATACCACCACTGTTTATGGACAAAGCACACCCTTTCGCCCAACTTTACCCGAGGAGATGTTCACGTTTTGAAAAAGAATGTTTGGTGGGTGAAAAGGGAGAGGAATTCAAGAAATGTGTTCTAAACAAATTTTTTGCTTACCTCTTAGTATTCATCAAAGTAGAACGTAGGACATTTGAACATCGAGAGAACCTAAGAAAAAGGGAAAACGAATGACTGACTGAAATACGTAAACTAAGAAGAAAAAACGATGTGAAATACTTAAATCAACAAAAGAGGCTAAAGGACAGTGTTGCTGCGAGTACGAAGTCCCGGCGCGCTCCAGCGTACTGTCAAGCTGGAAAGGCTCCAAAGAGGCACGCCTGCGGTGGTGCAAATGCACTAAACGGGGCAGTCGTCGACGAATATCCTTTAGAGCCACATACTCTGGTAACCTTCACTTTGAGGGCTATGAGGGGACACAACCTTCACTTGGGAAAAAAACAGAAGTTATCCGGGGCGAAGCCCCAGATGTTATGATCCTGACTTCGGAAGAATGTGAATGAACCAAATATAGGAAAGAATGTTTGAAGAATGTCTCAGCGAAACCGAGAAATTGCTTTTTTAAAGCCTTTTTTACGCTGAAAAGAGAATTTCTGTGAAAATTTCCTCAGAAGTCAGGACAACGTTCCTCATTTAGCCTCCCGCTTGACCAAAAATGAGTTTCAAAAGTTTGGAAAGCTGTTGGAGTTAAATTAAAATGAGAAACTGCGCTTAATTGTGCACAGAGAGTCGCGCACGAAAATGCTGGTCCATCTCGTTAGTAAGTGAATTTTAAAGCTTGGGACGTTGTCAGCTCTCCTCGTCGTGTCATGACGGTCAGAATGATATATAATGTTACAGGGTTTCGTTGAGACCCCGCGGAGATCTACGACCAGAGCCAAATGCCCCGTCGGCTCTGGTCTGTCTCCGCTGCTCGTCTGCGTCTCCGCGCGCTGCGCGCTACCTCGCTACCCCAAACGCGAGGCGCGGGGCTTTTGGCTCTGGTACCCTTTTCTTCGCTGTTTCGCACCCAATTTTAGCAAGCTATATATCATTTTGAAGCTCTTGATCTATATTTTTACGCTGACAACGTCCCAAAATCACATTCCTTGATTTGGACGAGAAATCCGGCAAAAACCTTGTTTTCGAAAATCTCTTGTTTTTCTTCTAGTTTACCTCTTTTTACCCGGTTTTTTCGTGCATTCTATAGATCTTGCTTCTGTTCATAATGCAGACAACCACCCAGCCTTTACCTCTTCGATTATTGTGGATTTTTTTGCGAAAAATCGTAAAAAGTGCGTTTTTCTTTACCTTGTTCTGTTTCAATGCCTTCGCATCGATTTTTTTCCAGCTTGGGCGATTGTTGCTCAGAACAATAAGCGCAACAATCCAGACAACGTCCCAGGAAACAGGAACGTCAATGCGGGGGTAAAAATTCAAAGGACGCATCAAAAATCAAAACCCCGTGTTGCGAATTGCTAGTCCTGAAGCGAAAACTTGCACTTTGAAAAGCCGCCAAGTGAAAAAATTCAAGCCTCATTGCAGCGTTTTTATCCTGTTTTCAGCAGTTTCTTTTGCTTTTTGTATCTGTTTTGTGTCATTTTCTCTTCTCTGATCATCTTTAAACAACCTTCACTATTTATGACGTCAGATGTTCAAACAACCTTCACTTTTGACGCCCTGTCTCTAGACTATCGAAGGTATGGCCCGAGGCCTTACTCTGACAATTTCTGTGATGGCCAATGCGAGCCCCTGTAAGAGAGGTGAAACACTGGTGTTGATATAAAAGCAGAGTATAGTTGACTCTTTATTCGTTAAGAATTTAAGCAAATTAATTAAAAAGCAAGCAGATTGTGACGAAGTTTTGCGTAGAATTCAAAATTTGATTTGTTTTATAAAATGATCACTTTCTTAGAAACCAAGAGGATTTGTTGCGAAATATCGTGCAGGAAAAGGGCTGTCATCGGAAGCTATTTTTCTGCACTGAAAACGACCTTCTTCTGTTGAATAAAGATTATATTAAAAAAGTACATGGGCCTTCCTTGCATGTGGCAAGCTGATGGAGGACTGGGTTGCATTAGTACGGCCTATTGGCAATCTAAAGTTTTGCACTAACAACAGGATGTAAACATATGAAAACTTACGCGTTCTTCTCAGAAGATGATCGCATCCTTCTGGACAAAAGCTTCTCAAATTCCCAATCGTATGGATCAGAATATCTAAATAAAACGTCGAAAACACAAGTGTAAATGATCTGTCGTTCAAAGACAGCGTCCATCCAAAATTTTGTCTTTCATGCTTTTATTGTTACCCGACCTTTCTATGGCGCTGATTTGGATATGAGGTTCAAATTACTGAAAGCTTCAGAATTGCCCTTTCCGAAACCCTAATTTGACGGTCGTGGACGAGTGCCCGGCGCTAGTCACGTCGTATGCTGCAGGAAACTCGTCGTGTGCAACAATGCCACATCACAAACTATGCGTCTCGAGTTGCTTGTCATGGCAGAAAACATCACGGGCAATCCATGATTGGGTGGAGCGCAAAAAAGGGGGCGGAGCGCAAAGAGTAATTAGGTGTTATCTCCTTTTATGGGTAACATTAGGAGACCGGAACAATGCGGTTGGTCTATTTGGCGTGCTGCTAGTAGGATAAGTATTAGTCTGGAATGAACAGATGTTGGGTGGCCTTTGGCTTTTTGTGGGCATGCGCCTAGATCCTGCTCGAAGATGCAAACGTCAAGCTAGAAATCGTTTTAGGGGAGGAAAAAATTGAATGAATTATCTTGAATATCAAATTTATGTGCATTGGGAAGCGTAAAACATCTCAGGCGTGATGAATATGTGAGCAACAAGGGAGCTTTGAAGAAAAAACTAAATTTTTTCGTTTCAAGTAAGTCAGGAAACAAACTGACTGTGCAGCGCAGAGATAACAAGTTATATATAAGTGCGGACAAGGCCTAGAAGGAACAAAGTACCAAAATCTCAAATCTTGTGACTGAAGGGCGTAGTATGCACTCTCCTAGAAATCTTTTGATGATGAAATTGAAGAAGCGCTTGCTAACGCCTGCCTCATGTGGCTCTTTGTGTATAAGCGCAATAGAATATATAAGTAATATAGAGTAATTGCTAACGCCTGCCTCATATGGCTCTTTGTGTATAAGCGCAATAGAATATATGAGTAATATAGAGTAAAGCTTGAATTTTTATGAGGAACATATATGGATAAAGAGCGCGCTCAACTTACTCCGAATTCAGATGGCAATTGCCACTTTAATGCCACCCTGAAAGCGGCAAAACTCCCAGCTCAAGCTTACGTATAGTAAGTTTCAACGTTTAGGCGGAAATTGGGCTGACGAGAATCCGCTTTGCAGTCTGCGTCTCTTCAGTTTAATTCATCTCGATGAGCCAGTGGCGGGCGGACGCGCTGCTCCACTGGAATGTTTCGCCTACTCCGCGTTGAAAAAGACTGTAGTTCTTATATAGCTTTTTCTGAACTGATGTTCACTATAAATAGGATTGATTTTGAAACTCCTCTTTTCTTTGCTCGAACAGTAAATGGCAAACATAGCAACGACTGCTGGCCCTTGAGAAAGAAAGCGCGCTATAGTTAAACGACGTATATAGTTGGAGCAGTCAAAGGAGAATCATGAAATACAAAAGTGGCAAAGATAGTATAGTTAGATGTCCATTTGCAACCCTAGTGCCCAACCCTGCGTTCGCGGAACAGATGAAGCCAAACCAATTTCGCTCCCCAAACATCATTTTTACTATTTTCCATTTGCGGGACTGCGCTTATTGTCTAATCGAAGCTCTCTTTCTTTCTTCTGGCCCGGGCTCTGGATGTTGTTCCTGGTCGTAGCAAAGAGGGGAGGAGGTTCTTAAAGGTTGTTACTATACAGTAAACAACTAGGTAGTGAGATTTATCTTATATATAAAGCTGAATGTCTGTCTGTATGTCTGTCTGTATGTCTGTACGTATGTGCGGAATAGAAATTTTTATTTCTGAACCGATTTGGACCAAACTTGGCACACTTATACTTCGGGGCAGGGAGCGTGTCATAGGCTACTTTTCGTTATCGATCGATATCGATTTTATCGATTTTTTGCAAAATTTGAGCTACGGGGCTGGGAGTTGGCACAGGGGGTAATCGAGCATGCTGATTACGAATATAATAATGACAGGGCCGGGCGGAGCCGGGTTTGCCAGCTAGTATATATATATATCACGTAAACTGAAATAGATGCACCCACTTTGTGGGCATGCCACCCTATGGAATTTTCTTGTCACACCCTCTATTCACTTGAGGGTTGAGCCAGACTTTGCCGGGAAGCGGCTACGCGGCGTACGCAGCGTACGCTCGGTATATTTCATCATAGGAGCATACGCGGCGTACGCTGCGTACGTCGCGTACGCCGCGCAGTCTGGCCCAACCCTGAGCCTTTTACAACTTCGCACTTTCTGCAGTGGAAAATATGCAGTTCGCATATTTTCCACTGCGCGTACATACGAATTTTGGTGCAGTAACGATACGCCTTGTTGCAAGCAAGTCAATCTTCCACCAGTCATTGATTTTGGAAAATTGTCATGCCTCCTTTACCAAAGGTTTCGAAATTTTCTTTCCAAGATTTGTCGTTCCAATCTTTAGCCTGTAGGCACTGAATTTTTTAATTGTGTTGTAAAGAGCTACTTAACACTTGGAAGAGAAAATTTTCGTTATGGTTGCTGCCCTTGATTTACTCAATTTTTGTTCATATTATAATAAGTTTCGTCTTTTTGCAATTGTATCCATAAATTTTCTTTTTGATTTTTCCCTAGCTAATAAAGCTGCTTCTTTGCTTTTCCTGAAGACAATATCTGGCTTGACATTTAACATCATCGTGCCTGCCCCTGAGCATTAAGTTTTATTTCTCAAATTTACTGTTACTAACCCTCTTCAAGACAAGAAATCACTATTGACTGAAAAATGGAAGAAAGCTTAAACGGGGTTCTGATAACGAAAATTAAAGGCATGTTGGCTCTTACAAAATAGTTGTGCGCAAACAATTCGTACCTTTTGATCAGTCACAAGGTAAAAATTCAAGTTAACTCACCTTATGAAGCCTGCAGTTCGTATATTTTCTAATAGGGTAAAAAGAAGTGTATAGTTAGGTCGGCAATAATAGTTGAGAGTGCTGGAAATGTGCCCTATTCATTTTTCGCAGTATGAAAAAAGGAAGAACTTGTAATAAAACTTACTCTATATGTTTATGAAAATTGATAAATTGTACTGGACAGTTTTCCAGAAGGAATTCAGCTGGTGTATTTTTCTTGAAGTGCAGAATTTCCTGTGGATCTCTGCAAGCACATATTTACGACTGAGTGTTTAATGTCAAGAGTTGAGAAATGGAACTCTGAAATCATTGCATGCTGCTAGACATCTAAATATTAGCCCTATCCTCCTATACGCTGCTTTCCTCAATGCTCTCATGTTACCTTGTTCGGAAACTCTCATAGTATTAAGGACAGGCAGGCGCAGTCTGAGAAACAGAGGACTGGGGATGGGAGGCTGTGGGAGACATCCGCTTGTCGAGAATAACTGGGAACATTGAGAAAAGCAGTGGGTATTTCTAATGTTACTTACAAACTTTTGGAAATGTACAGTGCTATTCAGACATTGTGGCTCAAGTAAATTGTGAAAATGCTGGCGCTTTTCTGTATTACTTCTGGGTTTGCTGCTGTTGGAAGCTCACAATTGGTCAACAGATACTCATCACATAATATAAAGATGGCTACTTTATCGTGTTTCAGAGTCAGGAGTGGGCACGAATTGGCACCTGAGGGTTTGAAAACAAAGTTTCGCTTCAGGTCGCGAAGCACGCACAGAATGTTAGAGGGGCGCCTTGCGGACCGGACAAAAACTACATGTCTGCCCCTACGACACGCCACGGAAACTGCCTTCTTCTGCACTCACAACTCCAGGAACAGTCTCTACAAGCGCCGACCTCCACGCTCTTCTCGATGCTGCAGAGCACACACCTCATCGCTCTGCAGGAAACGAAGTCTAGGAAGAAGGGCGTGCGATAGATGAGTGATGGGACCCTCATCATTTGTGGTGAAAAGGTTCCATCACGAAACGTTGGAGGCGTTGGCTTTGTCGTCCACCCATCAATCGTCCATCTTGTCGATCCGCATGAGATCCTGTCGCCTCGACTAGCCAACCTACGACTACGACCTCCACGTCAAAAGACCATCGGCGTCATCAACTGCCACTCACCAACATCAGCAGCTGACGATTAACTAGATACATCCTACGAGGACATGAAGCAGGTCGTCCGCAACAAGAAGTCCTTCTACAAGTTCGTTGTGGGCGACTTTAACGCGAAGATCGGGATGCCATTAGAAGAGGAATATAGGATCGGGAAGTTTGGATGAGCTCCGGAACGAAAACGGCAGCCGTTTCGTTGGGCTTTTCACCGCCGCAAGCCATGGAAATTTCATCTTCATGAAGAAAGAACATCGTCAATGGACTTGGGAATCGCCCAACGGAACGACTCATACGAAGATTGACCACATTCTCTCCAGCCGAATGTGAAGCTTACTCGACGTCTCAGTAGTCCCATCCTTCTGCAGTGGCTCCGATTACCGCCTCCTTCGAGCAAAGATACGACTCAGCCGAAGGCTGGAAAAGAAAGTCTGTCATAGTACCGCGAGAAGGAAGAAAGTCGTTTATGACGGTAACAGGCTGGAAGAGCTCATATCAAGTTGTGACCGGCACATCAAGGAGGGCCCAACATACGACTACGACCGGCCTGTGAAAGGATTGCGAGACTGCGGAGAGTGCGCCTCAGTAACTTCTGAGGAGAGCTTGGAACGTATTTTCGAAGACCACCAAGGAATTGCTCCAAAAAAAGATTTCTGAGGCAGGATCCGAATGCTACTCATCTCGAGCGACTGACAGCCAACGCCAGTCGCAGAACAGCTTTGCAGGATCACAGGAACTACAAGCAAGCCACGATACTGGAAGCAGCCAAAGGAAGACGAAGTCTCAAGAAGCGCCGAAGGGACCTCTTTGAATATCGCGTACCGCTGGCTGCACTATTGAACGAAGACGAGACTCCGACTTCTTCCCGATATAAGATGGAATCTATCGCGAAGAGCTTTTGCACCAACTTCTTCCGCTCGTCATCACCCGTGCAGATACCTTTTGTTCCCAGAGAAGTTCCACCAAGGATTCTACCTGAAGTGCGAATCGCGATACAGACCATGAAGACGTCCACGGCTCCAGGACCAGATCATCTTTACGTCGAACTTTTGCGAGCCGAAGGACAACGCCTACATGAGTGAGATTCTCGCATCGAACCTAACATCTTACCTTCAGAAGGAAAGGATTCTCGAGTAGTGGAGAACATCAAGAACCGTCCTTCTTTTCAAGAAGGACAAACGGGAAAATCTTCGGAACTACCGTCCGTTATGCCTGCTGAGTGTGCTGTACAAGCTCTTCACGAAGATTATCTTCGCTCGCATATCTAGGACACTGGATGAAGCCCAACCTCAAGAACAAGCTGGATTTCGCAAAGGATTCAGCTGCATTGACCACATCTAGACGGTTTTGAGTGTCACAGAAGTCTGCCGGGAGTACCGACTGCCTCTCGTCCTAACCTTCTCGACTACGAGAAAGCCTTTGACAGCATCGAAACCAACGCCATCCTGTTTGCGCTACTCGATCAAGGAGTGGACTCAGTTTACGTGAGTACGTTAGCCGACTGCTACAAGGACTGTACAACAATGATGAAGCTATTTCATCGCCCTCTGATCATTCCAATTGGGAAGCGGGTTCGATGAGGCAACACTATTTCGCCGAAGCTGCCGAGGCCCTGCGGTGGGAGATGAAGTCATTGGACTGGGACGAGGGAGGTGTACGAGTTGATGGGAGATTCTTGTCCAACCTTCGTTTTGCGGACGACATCGTTCTCTTCTCAAGCAGTATCACTGAAGCAGAGACGAAGGAACTGAACGAAGTAGGGAAGCGGATCGAATTGCGAATAAATTGGAAGAAGACTCAGTTCGTGAAGAACGCCCTTTGCGAGGATCGGAAATGGAACTGGAAGGCACTACCACTATGGAGATTCTTCTTACGTGTATCTCGGACGTTCGTTGAACGTGGAGAATGACTTGAGGGAAGAGCTTAAGAGGAGAAGAAGAGCAGCCTGGGCCGCCTTCGGGCCTCTTAAGGAAGCCACCCAGCAACTGACGGACGAGGAGCTTTGTGCCCAACTGTTTGACTCAACCGTTCTCCCGGCGCTCTGTTACGCAGTTGAGACTTGGACCGACACTGTAGCCATATCGAAATCTTTTGAGATAGCACAGAATGCTTGAGAGCAGTCTTTTAAAGATGATCCGATACAAGCGAAATCTAGTCGAACTTCGCAGTACAGATATCATGACTTATAATAAAGCGCTAAGCGTCTGTCTGTTTGTTTGTCTGTCTGTATGTCTGTCTGTCACGAAATTCATACAGCGAGATGCAGCCAAAGTCTTGAGCTAAAATTTTCGCCATAGCCCTATCAGCGTGTAGGTGAACACGCTAATAGTGCTATGGCGAAAATTATGCAAAGGCTATGGCATACTGTATCGGCTTGTGCTATGGCAAAAGCACAAGTCGATACAGTAAGTGGAAGCTTTGAGATCTGTGCTTCAAACGGATCCACGCGACTTTTGGCTCCCAAAATGGGTCGGTAATTGAACTTTTCGCAAAGTCGTGGTTGTTCAACAAGCAATTCCGAAAGACATTAACTTCAGCCCAAAAAATAAGCAAAAAGCTTATCTTTACACAAAATCGAAGCCAAAAGGGTGTAAATGTGAAAATTGTCAATTCGTCAAGTTTTTACGTCGAAAATTGAAAGGATTTTCGAATATATAGATGTAGCCTAAGGTAATTGTTAACTTTATGGCGACTATAAAGCCGAAATGATTCCAGTAACACATTCAAAATAGCATTTATTCTTTTGCGGGGAAACTTTTTCATCCAAAATTACCGATCTTACATGGAAAAGCTTTGAAAATGAGCGGTTTTTTACAACCCATTCGTGATGATCGGCATTGCGCGGTGAGTTTTAAAATTGTTAATGCAATCACACTGAAGGCATACTGATAGTATAGCCAGTGCGAACCCCTGCAAAGCAGAGGTGACGCACTGGTGAGAAGAATGCGACCTAGCGGAATACATTGCGAAAGCGAAACACCGATGGGCCGGTCACAATGATGAGAAGGACAGACGACAAATGGCTAAGAATCTGAGTGTATTCCTCGCGAAGCCAAACGTCCCTGAGGAAGACCACTAACGAGACACCCATCTTTTTGCCGACGCTGCCTTTAACGTCAGAAACAGCCGAATGACTTGTAAAGTATCTAAACTTTATGCTATAAGGGGGATGCACGTGGAATGAACCGATTTAAGGCCTTGGGCGTAGTGCTTGCAATTTGAAAGCGTCTTGCGATTATCTCGAAAAGACAAGTAGCAACAATTGCATGCCGATCTTCTTGCATTGCGGACGTGATAGTAAGGAGTGGTTAGTCGCGTCGGTAAACTATCACAACCAAAATGCAAGATGGTTGGAATGCAATGGACTCGCAACAGTCTCCCTGTTAGGAGAATCGCGGGGTAATGGATTCGCGAGCCCTATGTCCAGACCAAAGCGTGGAGAAGTTGGATTCTGAAAAGCTAGTTTGAGATGGTACTTAGTTCACGAAACCTTGTCGGAAAGTTAGGTCTATTAACGAAAAAGTATTCACTTTTATCAGTATCTAGGCTCAAGAATGTTTGTTTGGCCAAATAACAGCTTGCCCTCGCTATTACCGAAAACTGAGTGAGCTAATTCGCTCATCACTTTCCAATATTGCTTACAAGGGAGGTCCTTTTGGTCGAAATGGCATTTTCATATGATATGGATACGGCTATAAAAAGTATCGAACGCTATTTCCAAATCTGTCTTCGTTATCTGCCGAGCGCCTCTGGACGTCGAATTATGGGCGTTTTTTGGTTTAAAAAATTGTATGCATAATAGATGCGTTCGGCAGGTAATGAAACCAGATTTGGAATCAGCGTATGATGTTCTTCAAACTGGTATAAGACTCATTCGAGAAGGTCACTTCGACTAATCGAACTTCCCTTGTCAGGTAAATCTAACAGGAGAATCACTGTAATCAGCCTCTTAGGTTTTCGACTGAGCGTCAGAAGAAGGAGTTCAGGGTAAAAGAAATCTTTCAGCATTGTACAAAGGTGTAAAATAATTACATAACAACAAATTTTCTTATGTATTACGTGCATCGAGAGCAGATTCAAGGAAAGCTATTCTGTTATTTTTGTTGATTGAATGAAAATTTTCAAAGCAACATACGTTGCAAAGGCCCACGGCAACTGCCCCCTCATTTCCACCAATATGTACAGCAAGCTCCACAGATCATCCATCCGACCTTGTTCACCTCTTTCCTGCGTATTTACTGAACAATATCGCATTGTACCTCTGAAACGAGCGCCCGAGTTTAGACGATTTTCAGGATGTATTTCTAGCTAATATTTTTGCTTGCCTAAATCGTACGACTGGTCTTGGTCTGCGCAACTTTGCCCGACCGTTTTCCCCCCGAACCACGTATTCTCTTGCTAAGCCAAAGTCGAATAAGTGTATAAGACGGGAGCGGTCACTATCACCGGCTCCCAGAGCCATGTTAGCAGGCTTAAGATCGCGGTGTATAAAACCCATCTAAAATATCTTTTGTTTAAGTAATTAGAAATCTGACTGTAACTTACATCATGGAGAGCTTTAACTGCATATAATGCATTGATTCCAACTCTTACCTGCGTAGAGACGGTGCACACTTTCCCCACAGATCTTAAAAATGGTTTGTGTGTGTCGTTCAGAGGAAATGATGTTGAAAGACAACTTTCAACCAGTGACTTGTTATCTCTCCACTGCAGCTGTCGTGCAGAGGTTACGCGATTTCATCGTCGCGATTTATCGCGACAAGACAAGTGTTACGAGTTCACTGCATGACGATCTTCTTGTATTTTGGTTGTGATAGTTATTCATGATTAGCCATTTGGAAAACTATCAAATCCGAAATGCAAGAAGCGGCGGCATTGCTACAGTTGTCTTGTCGCGCTCAATCGCGACGCCGAAATCGCGTGAACTCTGCCCGAGGCCTTAAACCTGGTAGTATCGATAGCCATTATTTTCGATAAGGCACTCAGACAATCGCCGCGGCAGGCGGTCAGCAGAATTTTGCAGAGTGGCCAAGCTTTCAGCGGGCGGTATTTCCTTTGCTGTCGCATGTTCTGCCGGCGGTCAGCAATGCAGAATTTTCTGCAAGCGCTCGTCAAATAGTTTCTTTCAGCGAGTGCTGGTCAAATTTTCAACAGGCGTTTGGACGGTTTTTAAGCAGTTTTGGGCGTACGCTGAACAAAGGTAAGATCTACATGACAGAGGTGTCATCGATGTTTTAATTACTCGAGTTTGGGATGCTTTCTCCTAGCAGAAAGTACTTATGGGCTTGCGGCCCTTCACAAAGGACCGCGCGACCCTTAATAATTTTGCATATTCTCGCGGAAAGTCCGCGAGAATGCGGCCACTGCGCCGCAGCTAATCTATAAGAAAATCGCGAATGTTCTCCAAGCATTCGTTTAGAATTTCGCTAAAATTCTTCCAAATATCTGCAAGCGGACCGCAAGAAATCAGTGAACTATTTTTCCGATGCCCGCTTGTCCATAAGTTGCATGGCCACCTGCCCCCGGCGATTATCTGAGTCGGTATATGTGATACATACGGGACATCCCATTGAGCATGGAGCGAAGGTTGGTACGAAAAAGCATGTCTACAAAGCCTAGACTTTGCCCCGCGCATACGTTATGACTAGATGGTGGTGGCGATAAGAGGGAGGGGGAGGGGAAAAGTCCTGAGAATGGGTCGCGAAATTCGTGAAATCTACTTACATGGGATATAGAAATTTGCAAGTGAATTGTTTGAACTTGTGAATAAGAATAATTTTTAGAATAAAAAAATAGCCTTGTAAATCCTTTGTCACAATCTCAGGGGTTATGGGCCCTCTAAAATTCTGAGAAGCATCCCAAAAGTACGTGGCTAACACCAGTACCTACATTTGAAAAGGTTTTTCGCTGCCCCCCCCCCGGAGGCCCGAAATCCTGGGACCGCCACTGGTTGATGGTCCCATCTTCTAGCCGTGGAGGGCTCTGCTTCACTCGTCTAAATCTAAAATATGCGGCTGAACAAGAAAAATGTTCTCCAACGTATATATTGGGAATCAGAAGTATAGGTAATTCATCGTACGCACAGAGCGAACGCTGTTGCGTCTGACCAAGGTAGTTCGTGCATGGAAGAGACAGCAGACAGCAAGAGGGTTTAAAGAGCGCTCGATCAGCGAGACGCCGCATGTTTGCGAAGGGAAGAGAAGCATCACACCCAGTACTGTAAAATCCCAAAACCCCAACTTTGCCGGAGTGTTGCCTACATTCCACTTTTGAACAGTAAAATACAAGCCGAGCATTACAATTATCCCAGAAAATATTCTTACCCAATCAGTGCTTCCAAGCTTGGGCCAAGTAATGTCATCACAACATAAGAATAGAACTCCTTTTTGCCCGATTGCAGAATCTCGACAAATACAGGGAAATTGGCGAGACGTTTCAAAATCTGAAATATCGTCCATTGCTTTACTCATTAGAATTGCTCAATTCTCTAGTGCAGCTCACATATGCTTCAAGTTTTAACACGTTGGAGTCACCACTTTCAGCTTTCAATGCGGCCTGTTACGTTAGTATTTCTCGGCATCATAAAGATTTTCACGTACTAGTTCGTTTGTGTTCACATCCTCTACTTTATACACAGCGCCGAAAGACCCTCTGCCAAGAACTTTGAGTATTTTCCACCGACGACCGATTATCTTTCCTTTTGGAAGGCGTGCGGCAATGACTTCGGCTCCTGAAATTATCATATTAGAGGAAGATGTCATGCGCTTGGCTTCTATTAGGTCGTTTCATAAGTTCGTCGACTTTTTATTTTTGTCGCCATTTTTCGATGAAGCGGTTGGTTTACGGCAAAGTACCTATACCTTTGAAAAGAGAAAATCTTGCTCTACAAGAACTGTTGTCCGTTTTTGAAGCAAACTTGAATCCTCTTCTTTTACGACTTATCAAAGCAAAATTCTTTGAGAGGCAAAAATTGGCGATTTCGGCAACTGCACTTTCCGCATTTGGTCCGTATTCCGCAAGATGTTTCTGTCATAGGTAGGCAGGATGGATAGTAGCAAGCAAGACTGAAACACTGACAAATTTGCAGCATGCCAATATGCATAGAACCGTTTGAACAAGGTCCCAATGGTTGTTGTCTCTGACTGCTGCCGCTTGAGTTTGGCGCGTTGTTCAGCGACACATTGTGTCGGTCCTCCTATCGGAACTTGAGGAATGGATGCGTTCTTCTAAGTGGTGTAGATGTATGAGTACAAGCTCTGGCCAACATTTTACGCTTTCAAAAAATTTTTGACGTGGGAACTTCTTCAAATTGTGCCAAACGCAAAACATCTACACACATGGTAAACGTGCGTTTAATCTTTCTTTATAGCATCTCTTTGGATATGGAGACTACTTTTATATGCACCGTAGTACCACAAACAGTTGTTTCTCATCACTCACAACAACTTCAGACGAAAAATTTCCACTTGTGGCTCCGTATACGGATCGAAAGTTGCAGGTGCCGAAACCGCCAATTTTTGCCTCTCAAAAAATTTTGCTTTGATAAGTCGTAAAAGAAGGGGATTCAAGTTAGCTCCAAAAACGAACAACACCTCTTGTAGAGCAAGATTTTCTCTTTTCAAAGGTATAGGTGCTTTGCCGTAAACCAACCGCTTCATCGAGAAACGTCGACAAAAATAAAAAGTCGACGAGTTTATGAAACTACCTAATATTTGAGGATTTTTTATGGGTAGGCCTTAAAGACATCGTCCCTCCAAATTCTCGTCTTCCAGGTTTTTGCCGTTTCAGGGTTTTCTCATGTCCCTGATTCCAAATGAAGTCGAGAATCCGCGAAAACCCCGATACTCCCCGTTCCGGAGAACCCACAGGTCGGCTTTCCGGAACAGTGATTGGATGGGCGCGCACAAATGGGCGGGCATGGATGGGGGCGGTGCCGTCTGGAGTTCCCGTGCATCTTCGTTATTCAGCGATTTTCTCGCTTCCGAAGCGACATTTCGCACTGCGACTTGGGCATTCTTGATAGTAGGCCCTACTATCATAAGCTGCCAAATGCTCAAGACCCTCAACTTAGAGTGGACGATGCCTCTGACCAGCAACGCTTTTCCCCGAAGTTTTTCCTGTGCAATTTTTGCAACGGTGTTTTTTGTTTTTCTCCGTTTTTTGGATTGAAATTAGTTCGGCTGCTGTGTATTATGCACTTATGTAACTAAATAAGCAACTCCAGACTTGTCCATATTGAGTTCCCGTGCTTTTGACTTGAAAAGCTTTCATAAACATTCCCAAAGAATATTTTGAAATTTGAAAAACTTGAAGCCGGGACAAGATTTACCTATACAGGGGTGCGCTATCGTTAGCGCGCGTATTCTGTATGCCCAAATCGTGCAAGATGAGCTCAGCAAAGGTTAATGAGTACAGTATGTGTTGGATTCATCACTGTAGCTTTGTATGATATAAGCCACAAATATTTCGCCTACATTGCGCGATAATATGCACTTCCTTTTGAAAAATTTTGCAACTTCACGGGATGCGTTTTTCATCTGAAAAATTGACGTGCGCTACGGAGGCTGCGCACATGCTTGCTAGGACAAAAGTAAAGCTACGCTAGATCTGCTGTAAGTGTGGATTTGAGCCGTTTCCTTCAAAGAACTAGTGATTCTTTGTGATTTTCGTGTTAAGCGTGTTATCGACTTATGTGGGAAAATCTACATCTGAGAAGCTGAGGGCTAAAAGGTTCACCACCAAAATGCAAGATGATTAACATGCAATGTAGCTGTCGTATGTTGAGAGAATAGCGGGGCGATGAAATTGCGTGAACTCTGCCCGAGATCTCAGAATTACAGAATCACGTACATGACATAGTGAGTATCGGTTAGGAACACCTTAACAACCCCACATTGTAACTTCACACTAATATGTGCTTGCGGTATCCGGAAAGTTTAAGAGCTTATCTAACCGTGTCTTGGTGTCCATGAATCAATTTGAATTCGTCTTCTTGCAGACCGCAGACAATTAAGAAGGCGCGCTGTCGCCAACGTTTTGAAAACATCGCTGCACAAGTGGTCAACACTTGGCCTTTTGAGTATTTCAACAATGCTTGCAGAAGAAGCAGACGACCATAAAGTGATGGTATTGGAAAGACTCTCGAGCGTGCAGCAACTTAGTCCGTACGTTACAACCCGTCAACTGCTAGAGCATTCGGAAGTTAAAGCTTGTAAACATTGCCAAATGCCTCTTTGGTTACAGAAGCTGTGAAGCTTCTATTTAGGCAAGTCGGCGAATGCGAACGTACAAGGCTTCTTGCTTGGGTGCTCACAAACGACAAGCTCACCTGAAGAGCTCATCCTTGCTCGAAGATTGAAAACTAGAAATGAACGAGAAGCGGCACATCGAGATAATTTATAGAATCCTAAATCTTGTGATAATGATAACGAGTGGTATTTCAAAAGCATAGTATCCTATCCTACTATAATAACGCGCTAGTTCTGGGCTCAAGTTTTGCATAGCACTTGCTACTGGCATGAAAGTCCAACATGCAAAAGAACAAGCAGATTCGTTGGGTGGTTTTCTTGAAAATTGCGCGTCAAACGGATTCGCTTTGCATTTGGCCCACAAAATTGGGTCCGTAATTCCACTTTTTGCAGAATGGTGGGTGTTTATGGCAAGTAAATGTGCAAGCCATGAACTTAGGCCCAAATAAGTGACCAAAAGTCCATCACTTTACAAAAACGGCGCCAAAAAGTATTGCTTGCGTAAATGGTCAATTTGCCAAGGTTCTAAAAAAGCATTTGAGAAGATTTTCGCACAGAGATGTAGCTCACAGTGAGTATTGTCTTTATGGCGACTATCAAACCATGACAAATTCAAAAACCTATTCAAATTTGCCTTTGTCTTCCTGCGAAAAGTTTTTTCCATGCGAAATCACCGATCTCACGTGAAAAAGCTTTCTAAATGAGTAGTTTGTTTACATTTCATTCGTGGTAGTCGGCATAGCACGGTGAGTTCCAGTGTCACGATTTTATGAGAATGAGTAAGGCACATAGATAGTACAGCAATTGCGAGCCTCTGCGAAGCAGAGGTGACGCACTGGTTATGAATAAAGGTGCAGCAGGGAAAACATCGAGCTTTCCAATACTAAATGTGCTATTGTAACTTTATCTGCCAATCTTGTATCTACTCACTGTGCGTAATTTGCTGTTACAAAAGAGGAATCAAGACGTCCGAGACGCCATTTTGATCCCATTGCTCCCGCACAACCCTCTCTGAACACCGGTAGCAAACGTATCTCAATTCTTCCCCAAGAATTGGCAATCTATCTTATATATAAAGCTGAATGTCTGTCTGTCTGTCTGTCTGTATGTATGTATGTATGTATGTATGTCTGTGTGTATGTTATGTTCCGAATAGAAAATTCCATTTCTGTACCGATCCGGACCAAACTTGGCACACATACACTTCGGGCCCCGGCGGGTGTCATAGGCTACTTTTCGTCATCGATTTTATCGATTTTTATTGATTTTTTTGCAGAGTTCACCTACGGGGCTGGGATTTGGCACAGGGGGGTAATCGAGCATGCTGATTACTAAAACAGCGGGAATTGTGATTTTGCATGTAGGCGCGGGCACAGGGAAAGGTTCTTACAGGAATAGGATAGTGTTCTTTGACATAGTGTTTTGACAGGGCCGGGCGGAGCCGGGTAAGCCAGCTAGTATATATATAAAACTCAATGTCTGTGAGGAAGTTCGTTTAGTCGTTCGTTCGTTATAGAAACGCGCGCCACTGAACCGATCCGGCTGAAACTTCGCACACGTATATTTTCGACCCCGGCGGTGGTTTAGATCTAATTTCCGCGGCGATTCGCCGGGCCATTCTATGGATTTATTGATTTATTTACTCAAACCTAAGAAATGAAGGGCCATCATGGTAACCGATCATTTTTACATATAAGCATGTAAGCAGGGGCGGTAAAGTCCAATTCAGTCTTAAAGTTGGTAGGGTGCGGCAGTTAGTCTGAAAGCGCTTTATGCGCGTGTTAGAAGAAATCTAGAGCCGTAAGTTTACAAGTTCTGTTGGCTTAACTAACTTGAAGTCTCGGGTGAGACCGGGGCCACCAGCTAGTTAGTTGATAATTTCCAGATTATGTAAAGGTTTTTCATAAGCGTTGAAATGTACAAAAGTCTCGCTGTTTCGCAACGCGAAACGCTACTTTTTTTGAAATAGCGATTTGCAGGTTTTCTCTAGTGAAACGGCACGGCTGCATCAGCACTTTGAAATTCTACAATGATTTTTCCAAAAAGGACTTTTAGTCTCCATCTTGAAGGCAGCGTCTATTCACTCGTCTTAAGTACCGTATTTGGTTAACAAAAGGGTGTACACCAGGACGATGGACCTCCACGCAATAGCATGCCAGGGTATACAAGCGGTTGCCAAACACGATGGCGGAGCTTGGTCTAAGGACGCATCACCCAGCCAAGGCTGCACCATCCGCGCTGCCGCTTGAACAGGGTGTCTTTGGGTTCCCAAAGTCCATTAAAGGCAGTGTTCGGGCAAAAACTCGATTTTGAAATTTTCTGCTTATACAGGCCTATTCGCTGTGCTGAATCCGAAAATCCAATGGAGAGCGCGAAAACGGCGAAAAGGGGCCCTAATGCAGGAGGGAAATCAAAAGTGGACGGGGTCCTTCCCACTGTGAAGTCACGGTCTCGGCTTCCGGAGCGATCTTCTCAATTCCGCTAACCGCCCTGGCATCTCCATAAGCTAAGTGCGAATGCTTGACTTGAAATCGGAACCGAGAAGATCGCTCTGGAAGCTGGGACCGTAATTTCAAAATGGGGAGGGCCCGCCCACTTGCTGTCTCCCTCCTGCGCTAAAGCCCTTATTCGCCGCTTTCGCGCCCTTCAGCGTGGATTTTTGGATTCCGCATAGCTAATAGACCCGGATAAGCATAAAAAACCTCAAAAGAGTTGTTGCCCGGACGCTGCCTTTAAGGCGCCGTCCATCCTAATTTAAGAGTCTTGAGCTTTCGGCAACTTACGATGTAGGAGGCCTATTAAGCCGATGCCCAGGACTCGAAGCCCCCCCCCCTCCACTGATCCCCGCCCTTCCATGCGCGCCCATCCAATAACCTTTCCCGAGAACCGGCCTAGGGGCTCTCCGGTACGGAAATTCTCGGGCTTTTTGAAGGTACTCGACTTCATATTCAGAATCAAGGACATGGAAAGGCCCTCAAATGACGGAAGCCTTCTCATGCCCCTGATCTCCCTGATTCCGAGTACGGAGCAGAGAATCCGCGGAAACCCCAAGAATTCCCGTTCCGGAGAACCCACAGGCCGACTTACCGGAACGGTGATAGGATGGGCGCGCGTGGTAAGCGGGCATGAATAGGGGCGGAGCCGTCTGGGAGTTCCCGTGCATCTTCGTTATTCCAGAGCGATTTTCTCGCTTCCGAAGCGACATTTTGCACTGCGACTTGGGCATTGGCTTGATAGGAGGCCATATATCATATGCTGTCAAATGCTCAACCCTCAACTCAAGATGGACGGTGCCTTCAACGCATACAACCCCCAGGGGTCTCAATATCCTGGACGCTGCTTTTAAAAATTAATTTCAATTCACGAGTGGTGTGGTAATGAACATTTTGATGTAATAACGTCATTTCTTCACCCATATCAAGGAGTTTATCAGGTGATGCTGTATATTTGAAGATTTAGGAAAGTACTTGGCAAGCCAGCAGATCAAGAGACTGGTCAAGCCTTGTTCCTATTGCTGTCTGCCTTTGTGCAACAAAAACTCTTACTCCAAGGACTTCGATCGAGTAAAGGTAAAAGTAGTACACCGTGGCAGCTTTGATGATCGTTCACGTAATCATAATCGTTAAATACTATCGCAAAGACAATATGTGAAAGATTACGTTTTCATTTCATACTAATTCTTTAGCACAGATGCTTGATATTTGTATTGGAACGATACAGATAAACTCAAAGCTAATAGCGATACAACAGACCATAGACGCAGACAATGCCGAGGGTGATTTTCACACTGCGCTCGTAGTATCTTAAAAACCTGGAGAGGCTTTAAAGTTTTGTTATTAATCCAGTTGAGCAAAAAAGGTAGGTTTCTTTTTGGTTGCTAGTTGTTACTCACATCTAGTCTTCTTTCTCCTCTAGGATCTTCTCTAGCGTGAAATTTCCTCATCGGCCCAAATTTGGAAAAGCGAGTCAGTCCCTTGAAATCGTCTTACTGAGAACATATTGAACAGTGAAAGTGGCCATTGCTAGCATATCCAAGCTTCCACATCACCCAGATAATAGCCAGGGTTTAGCACAAGTGGGTATGGAGCAAGCGGCATCTTTTTTCAGGTAAAAAGCAAAAGGGGTATGGTTTTTATTAGCTCTGAGGCGGGTCTTTAAAAAAATGCGTGTAACAATACAGTATGGTGTGAAAAAAATGGCCAATTGCATTGCGCAAGAGTCTCGGGGTTGGTAAAGTTATTTCAATAAATCTTCTAGTCATGCAAAGCGACTGACTAATTACAAAGCCAACCAATTAAAAAAACTTAGAGAAGCTGGCATAATACACACTTATCAACGAGCAAATTCTTGCGGCTCCCCCTTACAAACAAAAGTTATTCCATCGCTATTGTCAGATGAATCATACATACTCTCAACTTTCCCGTCCACTAAATACCCCTTTCCTCTCTTAGGGCCGCATGCATTAACACATCGACGACCACGCAAATTTTTGATGTCTGTCTCTTGGGACCAAGACCTTACACGGACCAGTGAGCATTTTTCAGATAAAACTGCGCATACTGTCATCTACAGTATACCTACAGTAGCTGTGAAGGGCTGACAAAGAAGATAAAAGTCATTTCTAGATTCAGAGCAAAACAAAACTTCTGGAATGTGTTTGTACCAAAATAGTCGTTATTTCAACGAAGTTCAAGCCTGTAACACCATGTGGTCAAGCTGTCCCACGTGGTAGTCATTGCTTGACACACATGGTGTGTCAAGCAATCGTCATTGTGTTAACATCCCCGCTGAGGAGGGGATCGCAGCTTGGAAGAAAAGCTTCATATCCTGAAGCTCCAGATATCTGGATTTCACGGTGTTTACTTACCAGTATGTATTCTCACCATCCTCACTACGGACATATTAAACAGGAGCGAGAAGCTGTACTAGACGCATTTTCCAGCTTTTTGTATGATCCCTTGGTGATCCCCGAGGCACGAACATCTACTCTTTGAAACTATCTTTTTTCCTTCAGAGTTAGTGAAAACATTCCGAAGTTGTATTGCTTATCTAAACCAACAGTGCTAAGCATGTTGCTGATAAGAACAAATGATGTTTTGGAGTCATGAAATTTTAGGGTCCACAGGTCGAAAGTTGGGGTTCGTCGGAGATCTCGATATTTCATTTGTTTTCATCAGTAATGTGCTTAGCGCTATTAAGTT